ATAATGCTCTGACAAATATCACCTGTTTGTGTTTCACTTTTAGTTTTTATCTGCACAGATTAGCCTTATGCTATTTATTACTTCAGTTCGAGTTGAATGTTTTGTGCTATATTGACTAATCACTCCTGATACTACACTTTTGCAAATGCGGATCGATTCATGTTTCTCTTCCAGCCATGAGCTTCTGTCTGACTATTAAAAGCACATATGATTTTAAAGTTTCTGTGAAATAGCTACGAAATCAGTTCGCTCTCCAAGTGACACTTGTTGTGGACGTCAAAGCCAGTTCAGATCAAAAGGGATCAATTTTTAAGAGACCAAGAGCCTCTGATTAAGAAATTTGAAACACCCGATATGTCTTGCCACTTTTCAGCTCAGTTGGCCCTGTGTGTGGAATCTGAGTGCAAGCTGTAAAGAGTGTACTTTTGTGTGTCCGAGCATATTTATCTGCATTGTTAGTTTCAACTTAGAAGCTTGAGAGGTTTGGAAGGGAGGTGATCTCATCTTATGGACTTTGTTCTAGGCCATTAGGAAAATGTGATTTCATGTGGATATATTTTATAATAAGCCTAACCGTTTCCATATCTCCAGCTGCTACATCTCTAGCGAACTCCTGTTGCGAGCCAGTGGTGTAGTGAGCGGTCATGGCGGAAGTATTTGGGGGCGAACTGGAAGAGGCGATATTGGATAGGCACTATGCGAAGGTGCCACACGTCACCAAGGGCGGTAGGCATAACTGGAAATGCCTACTGCAAGGTTGTCCTTTCCCAGGAACATTTTCCCAAAAAAATTATATCGAAAAGCATTGGAGGAAAGACCATGTGGACTGTCATCTCCAAATTACCCAGAAGCTTCCACCTGGACCAAAGACGACTGGAGTTTCCAGGAAGGCTGACAAGAAAGAGTTGATTGACTCTTGTGACAAGCATTTTGGTAATTTCTGTCAACGTTGGATCAAGCACAAGCAAGATAAGTTGGACTTCTTTCGAGGCGAGGTATGCAATTCTTTTATTGGCAAGTTTTTTTTTTCTATTTGCATTGTTTATTTCAAATTGAATTCAAGTAGACTTCCACAAATAATTTGAGATTTATTATGTTCAGATTGCAATAACCGTATATATGTTGCAGAATTGATAGTTTGAGTTGTGTGTCTAGATTATTAAGGGGTATTTCGACCAAAAAATATATTCTCTAATGACGGGAGAGGATATAGGAGAATTGGAGGAACCTCCAGTGATTTTGAGGGCCATGAGACTCGTATGCAAGAATTTCCTTCCAGGTTGGAACATGTTGAGAATTCCAGAGTTTTCAAATTTTGTCTTTGATCATCTTGACGAACTACTAGATCCCTGTAGGAGAAAGGCACAGTTTGAAGATTCTATTCAAGAGTGGGTGAAGGGAGAGCACGCCAAAAATAGAAAGAGCAGTCAACGGTGAGGTATGAAGAAGTCAGAGATTGACATTGACGAAGTTGAAGCCATGGAAGATCTTGTGGCAATCTTGAGTGCAGATGACAGTTGCAGGGATTTGAAAGCTGAGGCAAAAGAATGGATAGTATTCTGTGGTAAGTACAGTTGGATTGAACAATCCAACTGGAATCCATCTTTGGAATGTAATGAACGAATAATCTTGAAATTTCTGGATTATCTCTATAGTCCAACGGGCAGGAAAGCTAAACTTGATCTTGGAGAAACCGTTCTGAGAGGTCGAATGAAGCGCATGGCAGACTTGGGTGTCATCGAAGATGAAGAGACAGCTCGGACAAAGGTCAGACATTCTTACTCCTGACGTAAAGATTTTCCAATTTGTAATGTTTATGTTACAATTACAGATATTGCAGTTTGGATATGATCTAAGAGTATTGTGCTTGTTATTTTTTTCAGGGTGAGATTTCAAAGTCAGCTCTTGATGAATCAGAGATGTATGGTTCCGTAGAGCCCATACATCCATTTTTTATGTCTGTACATATATCACAGGAAGTTGAAAAGTGGGGAGCGAAGGTTGAAGTCAAGAGGATGGATGCAAAAAAACGAAATCTTCTCTTGGAGTGGGGAGAGAAGTATACGGCAGACGAACTTTATACGGCAGACGCCTCATATAAGATCCGTGTCAACACACTTGAAAACAAAGGGTCGGTAAAATGGGCTGTTGCTGCCAACAAGTGGTGGAATAAAGTTGAACTGTTTGCAACAGCGATGTCTCTTGTTAAGGATCTTAGCAAAAGACCAGAACGTGATCACGGCGAAAAACGTGCAAGTAAGATGGTTCCCAAGCATTTTCTTTGAGCTTTAACTTTAACTGAAATATGTTGTATCAAAATGATAATATATGCGATTGAATTGCTGTTATTACAGATAGGAGAACTCGTTCTTCAGATGATAACATGGATGTAGGCGCCAAGAGAAAGCCACCTGGTGAGAGGACACGACGTGCTAACATATGGCGATGAATTGAAAGTCGTACGTGGACTTCGATACTGGTTAGTTTCACTTACAAAAGTCTTCAATGGCAATTTTCAGACCTGTTTTTTTTTCCACTCTATCTAGATAGGCTCCAATGTAGCTCGAAAGAAGTGGTAGCTGATTTGCACATGTACATTTCAGCTTTTTGACCATGGGGCAAAGTATCCAAGTTATATGCTGAAGTCTTGCTGCTGTGATTTCTGGTTCTAGTTGGCAGTGAAGTAGAGCACCATTAAACTTGAGACTGGCTTCTGGTTGAAAGCTACACTGAGTGACTTGACCTGAATTCTGAAGTGGACAAAGTCGTTGTGACAATAGTTCCTAATTGTACAATTCAGGTGTTATGCTTAATTTATGTTACATTGAATGCATGTGTTTAAGAGACTTTGGGAATTTTTGTTTGTGCTGAACTTGAATTCTCACAAGCTCTCAACGCCATAAGTGTCTGCTCCCCTCCCTCCATCCTTTGCATCTGTTTGTTCTCTGATGGTGCAGCTGACCATTTCTATAAGTAGATTTCGCACGAGATATGTAATTCGCCTCGATTTCAGGTTTTGTCTCATCCGACAGAAGTTGCCAGTTATCAGACGATGTACTCAAAAGCTGGCAGAAGTTCCATCAGAGTAGCTCTGCAGAATAGGTCTGTCTATTATATATCAGAAATTTTTCATGAGTCATTTGAGTTTTACATAATTCACCTGAACTTAGGACAAATATGTCTCTCGTTCTTCTCTAAATTCCGGTTTGCTGACTTTGATAGCTGCTGCCCGATGAGGTCCATGGATATATTCGACAACTCAGAGATGATAGGGTACTTATCATCCCGCCGGTTTCTATATATTGGACACATGTTTGCAATTCATGCTTGATTAACCTGTAAACATGTATGGTGGCTTATATACTCATGGCGTTACATTCATAAAATCACCGTTCTTGGATTTTGGGACGGTCGATCAATATCTGATTATAATTTTGTTTTTTTTGATACAGCTTTGAGGGTGCCAACGAAGGATGCAAGTGAGGTGACAAGTGCTCATGCAACCCTTGCAACTGCAAATGAGAGAGAACACCTCCAAATTATGCTGTTTATATTCCTTGAGAACTCTCATGACGAAAACAGGAAGACGTATACAGTACTTTTGTCAGAATTTGGAGAATTATTCTCGAACTCAATGTACTATCGCACTGAACCCTACATCACAGAACCATGTGTATATCTGACGACATAAATAAAGTCAGCAGAAGCATCTGCTGTAAGATTTCTGGTCATATGTGTGTTGTGTGAACTTACTGCATGCTTGAGTGAATCAAGTTAGACCTTGGATAGTAAGTACGGAGAGTAGTGAGGACTGATTCGACAGAGGCTTGTAATAGCCAAAAGGTTGGCGAGTTCCAAATACAGGTTTTGTCTCATCCGACAGAAGTTGCCAGTTATCAGACGATGTACTCAAAACCTGGCAGAAGTTCCATAAGAGTAGCTTTGCAGAATACGTCTGCCTATTATATATCAGAAATTTTTCATGTGTCATTTGAGTTTTAAATAATTCACCTGAACTTAGGACAAATATGTCTCTCGTTCTTCTCTAAATTCCGGTTTGCTGACTTTGATAGCTGCTCCCCGATGAGGCTCATGGGCACATTCGACAACTTGGAGATGAGAGGGTACTTATCATACTCAAAAAATAAAGTTTTGAAAAAATACGGAAGAAAATAGAATTTGAGTCTTGAGAATAAGAGAATGTAAATCGTGCGGGCTTGTCTCGATCAATAATTCTGACCTGTCTGTAACCCAATGTTTAGATCAGAATGAGGACATGCTTACAATTTGTATTGCGCAGCAATATGAACCAAACTGAAGGAGCTCCACATCTCAACTCTCTGGCTATTATATGTTTATCTGATCTCTGGCTATTCAACGATACATCCAAATAACTCTAGAAGCTATCAAGAGGAGCATTTATATTCCAACCGAGAACCTCAAGTCAAAGGTGCACTTCAGTTCTCGGGCCATGTAATTCGAAGCACCATGACAGACCTTCAAAAATATGGCTCTCGAAGTCAGTCCTAGAAGGTTAACATATCAGACAGAACCCTTCTCATTCATCCGGAGACATCGAAGCTCAAAAGTTTCTGAGTGACAATGTCCGCGTTTCTGGACATTTCAGGAGTGCTTTCACTTTGATAGAAACAGGCTGAAGGTTTCAGCATTTAGAAAGTAGAGGACTGAACACGAAACTTGAAGACCATGAACTCCACAATTGGGTGAACCAATGTACTAGATATCACCTGCTCGGCAAGAAGATCTCTTCTCGGAGTTCCCCAACTATCACCAGCGCACTTTGAACCAGCGAGTCAAGAAAAAATTTGAATGTTACTCCTATCCCTGACTCGTGTTTGAAACGACATTTTTCTAGCATAGTCAACCATCGCTGTTGGATCATCCACACCGACTTTATCAATGTGCCGAGTTGCTCTCTTCAAAGTGATACGTCGATTCAGGTCTTGATTCAGAAAGACTAACTGACGAATTGTGACTTGCCTATTCGATCCATTCTCCGGTGGATTCATGTGCTCAGGTAGCAGGGGAAGAAGGGAAAAGCACGAAGAGAAACATTTTCAAGGTGTTCGACACAGTTTCAAACATCGGTTGAACAATTCTGCTGTGAAAAACTATGGTCGTCAGTATGACGTCGACCAGGTTGTGAGAATAGGAATTCCCTCATAGTTGAGTGCGGATGGATGCCCATATGTTCTTATAGTCCATCGCTAGATCCGTCTGCCGGAAAGCGGAGCGATCTACTTCAGTCACTTTGATGCTCCACCGGAAAACTGAGTGCCAATCAAAAACCTGCCCGGTTAGTCTGCCCGCACATTCTTCCATCTTTGGTCCAAAGGAGTAGAGTCAGAGCGAAAAGAAGAACTTCCGTAACGGCTCACTGCAGGATGACACCTGCCTGGGTCTATGAAGGCCCTATATAGGGGCTATGTATAAGTTTGTGCAGCTAAACTCGTCCCTAGATTCTAAGGGGCCGAGTAGGTTCTGCTCCAATTACGCTCATAAAGCAGGAATATACGCCCTCGATGATCATGAGAATCGATACAAACCTTCTTCATTTAGGGTTTCGCTAGACAGTCAGGCTTTACTTATGTTTGAAATCGCAGTAAAATTCTAGAGAAGAACTCTAGAGAAGAATATATCACTCAATCTGGTGAGATTTTACTCCGTTTCGCACATATATACTACAAACCTGGGGGTTTCAACTGAGGAACGCTGCTAAAAACTTTCTCAACATTTACTGGTAACCCGACTAGCGTTCTCAATGGATCCTGTATTTGACTTTTATATTGCCATTTGTTGTACCATGGGCCGCCACCAACTTCCAGAGCACACATATCACTGGTTACATCCAAAACAATCTGCAGAAAGGGACGAAAGAAAGATAAAGGGTCAAATCGATTTTGAAAGTACCAAAACACAGAAGAATGCAGTGAAGGCAATGTCCTACATATAACACTGCGACATCGACGTTGGTAATGTACATTAGCAACTGCAAATAGATAGAACACGAATACAGGTCTTACCTTATCAGCTCCCCTTATGGATTTCTCCCACAGTTGTAATCTCAGTTTTCCGTAAAATGTGTCTTTACAAAGAGGTGCTAAACCTGCATCTGCTGTTGGGGCGCGCAGGGTAACCCCTGGCACATCGGATGTTGCCTTCAGTTTCACCTATGAGAAAGCACACAACATAATTATTGTGGATACTGTTGCGACAGTCTCATTGGCATCAAGAGGATGGTCGTTCGACAACTGACTTTAACTTCACTCGTAAAGGGTCCTAGAAGAGTTACTACGCAATGGTTTGTAAAGTATTTGTCAAATCTTCTTGAATTAAACCGGTGCAATCCAACGAACTAACCGACTAGTTACTGTAGTATAAGAGCAAAATACTGTATACACATCACACACCTTGTACATCCCATTCTCTGCAGTCATCTCCCAGGAGCCCCAGATGGAAATGTCCCATTCCACCGTGCCAGTCCATGGAACAAATTCGTAGAACTTGTCTGCGTAATGTACACCAACCTGTAAAATAAGTGTTGGAAGGAGAATTATCAATACTCTCTGTCCACACCTTCCTTCAAGTCTTGTACAAATGACATGAATGAACGAAAACATAAGTTCACGAATAGTGAAAGGCATATAAAACCCATTGGATGGAATTTCAAGAGCTTTAAAGCCTGAAGTAAGATCGACATACCATTGCCACCTCCTCGAAAGCACCGGGCACTAGAGGTAATCCTCTCCTACCTCCTCCAGCTGTTAATGATATTTCACCAGCTGCCCCTTCAAAAACGTTGCATTGTACCTGAGACAAACATATTACACCTCATTCAGACCAGGGCTATTCGGATTATGAAAGTCAATTGTGTCGTCAGCTTGATGTGATATGCTCTCAGATATAAAGCAAAAGAATGTCAACAAGTAATTGCCAATGAGCACATCTACTGCACCAAACATACAAATGAAACAAACCTTACCCAGAACCATTTTACTGGAAACGAACCACCCCAATTCTTCTCGGAATAAGAAGGAGCGTTTTCAAACTCAAATCTTTCATCACCCCACTCTATCCAACCTGGTTAAACATGCGTAGTATGAGACTATATACACATAACTGATTAAGATACTGGCAGAGACCAAACTTATGGCACTAGAGTATACACAATACGAAATCTTCACGTGATCAATCTTGTCAGATTTCCGGTCAGAAAGTCTCGCTTGAACGCAACAAATCATCGATATAATATGGTCTGATAGAACAAAAGATTATGAAGCATACAACTTGAGTGTGTTTTCAAAAGTATTTCTGGAATACTTGGAAACGATGAACAATACCAGTTGAAAGACCAGCAGCCATGACAACCTGCCAATGAGGTTCAAAAACGGGGAAAGCTGCTAACCACCCTGCAGTTGCTTTCTGTTCAGCTCCTGTATCACCCCATCCATATACAGGTACAGTGCTGTATTCCCAACGTATCGTATCAACTGTCTTGACGTACGGTGATCTGCTCAAAACGAGAAGAGTTTCGACTGAGAAAAAGAACACTGATCATTCCTTCGAGTTATACCCCGGACTTACCGCAATGTGAGATGAGTAATCATGTTGTATTACGTAATTTCACTGGTGGTACATAGACGTTTCTTTTGAATTTTAAGGTGTTAGACCCCGGACCTTCGAATACTTGACTTTTGATCTACTTCTGGATGTAGTAATGTAAATTATTCGGCTCTCCTGCTTTTTCTCTTCTCCTATTCCCTAAAAATCAATGGAGTTGGTGCTTACAATTGTCCAACAACAGCCACTGAGTTGTTATAGTATTCATCATTCCCAGTGAAGTAGACTGCTGATAGATAATTAACTTAAGATCAAAATGCAACTTCCGTTGCACGTCAAGCCATTGACACAACGACAGCTCAAGATTACACTACAAAAGTTGCAATTTGTTGACGACAGACTCTACCCGACTCCAGTTCACCCATTGAGGTGAAAAGTAGAGGAAGAAAAGAGAAAAAAACTAACCTGCCATTATCTTTAAGAAAACCTTGATGCCAGGTCGGTGTAACTTGGAAACCTTCCTCCACCCTGTCCAAAAATTCCTACTTTAAACAGCAGGGATTTTCCAGCACTGCATCAGGATGGTATCAGAATCTACTTAAATATGGAGCTGTCTTTCAATAGTAAAACGAAGGCTGGAGTAAAATAAAAAACTTACAACTGCAAAAGAAACTTCCGTAATCTGTAATGTAACTCTGAATTTTACCTTCGGGTGAACTTCAAATTTTGGAGGTGCTTTCCCAGCTTTGGGAAGAAACGTGTGGCCTAATGCAAGCTCATGGCGACCTGTCATATGTTTGGAGAGGCAAATCGACGGGTGAGAACACAAATTTTTCAAGGCTTTACCAAGGCATACTTAACACCTATGAGCTGCATAGACATAATAAGAAAGAAAATGTGAAACTCTTATTCTAGTCGTTCGCTGAGCCAGACTGATAGACAAGCAGTCGACCCTATCCGCAAGGGAAGGACGTCTAAGCATTAACCAAATTGATACTCACTTCCCCAGAAGGTTTCAACATCTTTGTCATACTGTAAAAGGTAAGTATCCTTGACTCCCATTACTTGTGCCCCAACTCCAGGATACTTTGGTCCTGTAATGATGTCCTCCAAACCACCCATGACGGTGTTCAATGACCCGGGATCCTCTACTGAATACATCCAGGCAAAGCCATCTTTCACTTCTGGTATATTGACTTTGAAATACCATCCCTCGAAGAAGCGACGAGGAGTCCCGTCAAAGTGGTAACTGTTTCACAAAACGAATATATTTAAAATCAATGATGTAGCACACAGACTTCACTTCTTGATATGAGTTCAAAGATGAGGAACGTGCTACATATGTTATACTGCGGTTACTAATGATATAACGTTTCGAACGCTAGTATATACTGATCATGCTTTGCAATTATCTTGTACCCAAGACTGCCATTTCTCGCTATTCCATGCCATTATGTCTTCTTACTCACAACATGACGACATTGTCATGAACATCAAGAAACAATGCGAATGCAACCTCAGACAATAGTTTTCAAAAAACATCCCAATTTTACGATGCAGCCTGAAAGATCAATTTTGAACTAAAAGCTGGCCCAAGCTTCATCAAGATACTGAAAATAGTCGATATGACTTTGAGATGACTAACTGACAATCGATGAAACTGTAAGATGTGGGACGCACAGCATCAAGTTCATCTCCGAGATTCTAAAACCAGTCAATATCGTACATCGATGCCAGTCTAGTTTTTTCAATTAGGAAACAAACCAGGATTTTTCATTACGCAGTTTCCTGAAAATTCTATCCTGGCATACGCTCATGACAACCTCCCGAAAAGAGTAGCATACAAGTCAACAAACCACGTGACATTTGAAGAACTGGGAAACATGGAGGGATGAAAGAGTACCCGCTATGTGGCGTTCGGGTTGGTCTGTCCCGGGCAGTAGCAGTGTAGACAGGAGGAGATGCAACCAACTTCCCTCTTTTCGACCCGGGTGCATCAACTCCCCTTTCCACGGCTGGTAGATTCTCTGCATCAGCTCGGCAATTCAACGATGCCGGTCTTGCTGCGAGCGGTGCCCAGCGGCCCACCGGCACCACCATCGTCAGCGCACCCGCAGCCATCGTTCCACCTATTGACGACCTCACCTCCCAATCACTCCCAGCACTTTCGTCGAGTAATCTCCTCTCTTCTAAACACAACTCGCCCCGCGCACTCCGTCCCGACTATTTATCGCTCTCTTCATCCAATTTGGGCCGCAGTGTCTCCACTAAGCCATTTGAAATTCCGTTGAGATTGCGCCACCCGCTGCGCACTGCCAGCTTCGGCGCCTGGGCGAGAATCGCAGCCCAGCGCGCCCGATCCAAGATATAGCGCCCTCCCCCGACCACGAGGAATGGATCACGAGAAATTTGCCGTGGCGCTATAAACATGACAGACGTTGCGAAGGAAGCGCATGTACGGAGCGGCGGGCGATCGAACCTCGGCCATATGTAGAGGAGGACATTTATTCACCCCCGGGGCTACCTCCCTCCGTCCATCCAACCGACCGGCAATATCTCGCCAACGCCCGGCGCGTCGGGTTTCGTGAGAAGAAGAAGAAGGCGCGGGTGGATCGTCGGGGCCACTCCACGCGGCAGCTTCGCGTTGGCCCCCGAGCCCGGCTGGATCTGTGGGCATCGGAGCCTCGGACACCTGGCCCCCCCCCTGATCTTCACTTGTATGGCACCACTTGTCTCTGCCCGGGACCACCCGCTCGCCCGCTCTCCGCCGGGAGGCCATTCACGGCACCGGCAGCGCAGGCCGATCTCTGCCTGTGGACCGCTTGCCTCGGTTTCGGACCTCACCGTGTTCCTTTCCGACGGCCTCTTCTTCTCGGGAAGTCTGGTCCGCCCGACGTGCGAGCTTTTCGGCAGTTTAATAGTCGCGCGACTCCTTCCCTGTCCCTCTCTGTCTGGAAAAAGGCGCGTAATTAGCCAAGAGAAATAGGTCGGCCGAACAGGGATGATGCGTTATCTGCAGACCTTCTTCTATTTGGTATTAAATTAAATTGAATTAAAACATATTATATTATATTAAACTGTATTAGATGCGGCGCCTTGCTCTTCCCAGGGCTTCAAGATGTCTACAATATCAATTCTCGAAGGGCTCGAGGAAGAGGAGGGTGCAGGTGCTGGGACCTTCCGACATCCAGCTTGCGATTGTTTCTTTTGATTGTAACGCGAGACTGGATCGAGTTGTTTGTTATTGCCGTGCATTAGCAGATCTGACCGTCGCGTGGAAGTTTCGCAAGAGACACATTAGTCAGTCGAGCATCTATTGCCTTCGTTCCAACATGTTCCTCGCGTCCCAGATGTTTATCGAGTTTGATTCCACATCGACCCATGGGACTATTTTGAATGAAACCTTCCATACTCGAAGAATTGCTTCGCAGTGAAACTGCTCGCCCGACAGCTTGTTGACGATGGATTGAGAGAATATCCCTGCACTGCGAGAGACTTGTGGCATGTTTTTCAGCACGGAAAGCAGAGGAGTCAGCCATTGAAAATGACTTTTTTCTCTCTCTCTCTCTCTCTCGTTAGCGTCATGCGCATAATTTAAGCGCTACATATATTCAAGCACCTTCAAGAGTGAGCCAACTCAATTTCGGGTCTCCTATCAATAATAATGATCTGAACATAATTAATCGTATTACGTACCTATGGTTGGTAATAGTTCCATACCTCATCAAAATTCAGCTCTTGGCAACGGAAGAGAGTCCAAGAAGGTCAGAGAGGGAATTGTGATATCCAAGTTGCCAAGGGGGCCACAACCTGAGGACAAACAACTTGATGCAGAAATGGTTCGTATTCGTAAGAGCTTAGTAACCGTCTAGGAACGGAGACAGTAATTTGTTATGAAACGTCTTCCCCGACGCGAGTAACTGAACATGGTACGCCAATCTCCAGCTGAGTTTGATGCTCAATTACATCTGGGCATGCACTGGAAAATTACAGCTATTGAAAGAATGTAAACCTATCCATTCAGTTTTAAATTTCTCCTTGTACCCACTCCATGCCCCACTTGCCAAATGCCTTTGGAGTGCGGGCTTAAATCAAATCTTATGTCCGGTCCACTTATTAGTGAATATTCCTACCAAACTGATCTTCTTTCCCACGAGAATGTGAATTAGAATAGTCATACATCAGTCGCACCTTCTGGATCATTTTTGTTTTACCGATCTCAATATCTTTTGGACGTATGAAACAAGTCATCTTGGAAAGGAATGATACTGGTGTAGAGTAAGATATTTTCTAGGTCCTTACGACATCTACCAGAACTACTTCTCACTGCAGTTCACATCCCTTTCTTCCATTACAAATCCTACTCTTCAAAAATTGTCTCTATATGCTTCTACAGTGAGATGAAACCCTTATACTAGAAACCCAGTACAAGCACATATACCAGCATGTGCTTCACTATATCGGTTTTTGCAAAGATTATACACAACCACCGATGATTTTTATCAGTAGAGTGCAGGGCTTGTATATACCCTTTTAAGGTGGACCTCAAACCAAAAATATTGACATATTTATATCACACATAATATACGTTACACCTTCAGATTTTACTACTTTGGTGTCCAGCAGATTGGATTTGTAACAACATTTGATGTTATGTGAAGTAAACATGCACATTCAACGTTTGTGGCCTTAGATAATCCAAATCTGATGTTTTTTACATTGCTTTGTTTGCCATTGCTTATGAATAAGTTCAGAACTCAATATAAAGGCCGCAGCAATGATATTGTTTTATTTCTACAATTAGATCGTTTAGAAGTCAGATCTGGATACAAATAATCATCAGAGCCCTGGTTTATTATCCGAGATATTGGATGTATCCATCCTTTCTCATACCAAGATTCAACTTGAGTCGTTCACTGCAACTATCCTGCCTAACAGTCGGTTGGTGTAACCTGCCCAGAACCGTACGTAGACATCACATCTTAGAATTATAGAAGACGATGTGGTAGCTTTCATCGCTAATGTGGGTCGCAAATCCAGAAACCTACAGCCCCATTGTAGATTGAAATTGAGTGCATGTATATCCAAGTGGATATTCTCGTCTACTCCTCTACACTTCAGAGAACATGTTGCTGGAATCCCGATTGTAACGTTCCCGTGACATGTTAGTTCTTCCTCTAACTTGAGATTGTGCACAGCTGTGTTCGTAAGAACGGAAAATTGGCCGCTTGTCTTCTACCTTGATTGGGATCACTCATGATTTGGGCGAGTTGATCTCACAGCCAAGAGCCTGTAACTGTATGCTTTGGAGCCCTTCGATCCAGCCTTTGTCACCAGACCTATGGAAAGGACAGCCGAGTATGAAGATCTCTGTGTACCCCAAACTTCCGACAGCACAAGCACTGGAACCTAACGTTTCTTAAATAACTTAGACTTCTTGGTACTCTCGAAAGTCGACTTCGGACCGGTGCAAATGTCTCGATCATTATACTCGTCGACAGATTCCACGCATCCAAGGCAAAAAATTAGAATGAACTTGAAATGTTTGGAACTTTCAAGATGCAGACATTTTTTCAGCTCTACAGACAGATCAGAACATCAGAGTTCACAAAATATGAAGTTGTCTCGTTGCTCCACTCGAAACTACCTGTGAAGGCTGTGTCTCAATCACCTTAAGGTCTCTGATACACACGATCACTGGCATTCAGTCTTTCCAGTGATCGTGTTTCTTCACAGTCCTTCCAGGTAACGAAAACACAGCCTTAAGATTGATCGCACTGATATCATATTATCGTGTACCAATGGACCATCTTTCTTTTGAAGCATCTATCTCAGAAAACGAAGCTGTAGAAAAGTCCCGGCATGATACTATCCCTACGATAGTGACTCTGTCGTCATTAAATGCACGTCGACGAACGACTGGGTCGAATCGAGCACCGTCCTGGTGACCAATAAGCTCCTAAGCTTCCCTCTTACGTATAATCACGACAAATCATTTTTGAGATTGATTCATTGTGTATCTACAATAATATTTGTCGGGGAAGGGATGATTGCTTCATGTGAGGGACTAGATGAGCACGACTACCAACGGTGTCATGTGTACAATACGGTCTTTTACGAACTTTACTACAATCATTTCTGGATGGCAATTTGTACATGTACTGTTCCGCTATGTTGCTCGTCTACCCGCTTGCCTATCTTTTCAGCTTTTATTAACTCATTACTCGATCGCCTTTTACACTCTTAGTCGTCATCAACAGGTACATGAAACAGAAACCTCTATTTACTGGTATTAGGGAAAGTTCTCGACAGAAATTGTTTATCAGCATGCGTGGGCTCTCCTGCACTACCGAAGTGCGCAGGGATCGGAATCAATCTCGTTTTGTGACCTTCCAGCAATGTTGACGAAGTACTTTAGTTGATGATGATTCTTTCCTCCACATTTTACGCCGAAGCTATCCGACCATCAGTCCTGAAGAAGCGAGTCCTCCATACCTGTGATCACATTTCCTATGTTACCAGTCTTTTGATATCTCCAGGTTTTGCAAGCAGATCCGATGAAGGATACATCGACTCGACAAGGTTTCACTTCCAGTACTTGCTCATGCGTTCAAAATAGACGTGACGATAGAGAGCCAGGGGCTTCCTTTGCTTCGGAGAGAGAAAGATGGTTCCACGCCTCAAAAACACTGCACTGCCTGAGCGGTTCCGCAGTGATATAGGGCTAAACGCTTTCGCGCGCTTGAGAAAGAGAAGATTCCACATCCTGCACACGATACGCAGCCTGAAGGATTCCGCCACGGGGAGGAACTTCAAAATCTTCTCGACCAAGTCTTCGGAAAGATCACAGAAGTTCGATTCATTCTCAAAGGAAGTCTGAGAATCCCGATAAGCCACATCTTCACTCTCCATCAGAGCTGAATTGGTTCCCAGGCTGATCCTGTTGATGCGAAGTCTCGAATCGTCTCCAGTGAAGCTGAATGCCGCTTTTAGTGTCGGGAGTGTATTGTAACGATCGCGGGGACCAACTGGTGATGCTACATCTGTCCTCGGAAAAGCTTATCGTGCCCAAGAGCATGCAGGTCCCTGTGAAGATCTCGAACTCCAGCGTACGCGGAGCGGGAAGAGGTGAGACCCGCGAATTTGCCCAGAGAAGAAATGTTGGAAAACGAACTGCTTTTGTGTGGAACTCTTCAGCAAACCTAAATGTCCATACGCAATCCGCGATTTCTCACTCGGGCCGTTCGCCTTCAAGACACTGTTGGTTTGGGCGTGACAGGCGATTGGTGGACCCCGAAGTGGGAGACCGCACGCGAATATTATATCCAAACAGCCGAGTCTGAATCAAGCAGGCGGTATCTCGAACTATGCATGCTCTGCTCTGTGCAAGAAACCCGGAAAATACCATCTGAGAGACGGGCGTGAGCACGGCCAGAGCTGCTAAAGACTTCCACTGATCGTCCGACTGCATGTCCAAGACCGCGACCATCGATGGCGGTATGAATCTTGCTTCACAAGTCACCCTTGGGATTCGTCGCGCTGAATTCTTCGAAGCCAGAGCGCTCTCTTCCACGGCGGTCCCCCAATTCACAATCTACCACCGCAGACGGGCGAGCGAGTCCAAGAACGAGAGGAGGTGGCCCCTGGCCTCAGCGAGCGGGCAGGCGGGATAGGGCAAGAAGGCTCAGTCACATCAATCGATCCCTCGCGCTCGCCATGGGCCCTGCCTGCCCTGTGACCTCGAACGCGAACCAATCCACGCGTGCGCACCTCGGGCAAGAATGCGCTTTGCAAATGTTCGGAAGATTTCGCTCTACGACTCAAATGCTCGGGGATTGGAAAGCTGGATCGGCATGGCCTATTGCTCGATGACGACGAATGAGCAATTTCGGCCGCGTTGCCACGAGCTACGATCTCGACTGCGACATGGAGCCATCCTTTGGCCATGCCTCCCTCGCCCCCTCCCTCGCCCCGAGCGCTTGGCCCGAGACCGGAGCGCTTTGATGTTCTTTTACGGAACTTTGGTGCTCTTCTAGGGAACCAAGACTTGCTTCTGGAACCTAAAGCTTGCTCGGGGCTACAAGGTACTCTATCCAACTCGGTGGCATAAATGACTAGGACATGGCGTATATATGCATTCCCCTTTACTCTCTTAGTTGAAATAATTTTTTAGTAACCCTAAAGTTGATGTCGACGAAGGCTGTTGAAATTTTTGTTACTGGGTCTTCGAAAGAAGGTTTAAGAATATTTTTTTTGGATGAGCCAGATTTATCAATAATGGAGATGTCTAGTAATAATAATACAATGAGATATGAAAAGAGGTATGGGTATTCGCTTCCTCCTCGTACCTTCCAGCCGTACGATGGGTTCTTTTTACTACTATTTCTCCGGTTTTCCTAGTCTATTGGTAGAAAGATTGAAATATTCCAAATAATATAGTAGATGTCTAGTCTTCCAAAACGCCAATGCATTTTCAGTAGAAGTAAGAAAAGAGGGAGGAGGAGGAGGAACATTCCTACCACGGTTGCCAGATAAAAGACACGGTTTTTGTTTTTTTCGATTCTCGATTGTTGTTTCCATATCATTCATAGGGAAAAAACGTTCCAACAGCTGCATCATTTCTTCATAATGTTTTAGTCTGTGTCCATAATGTATAATAATTATCCACCAGTTGAATATAAAAGAATAGGGTCTGGAAGTCCGAACTAGACATATGATACGTAAAGAGAAAACTACTCACACGGAGACTCTGTGGCAGACACAAGTCTTCGAATTGGTCTTCACATACAGACTGCTGTAGATAACATATAATTCTCTCTCACCTTCATCACTTTTGAAGTAAAATGTAAAAGGCGATGATAGTTGGCTTACTGGCCTTGTGATCATTCAAGTACCTTTGGTGTATTATTTTCTTAACACTCCACACCACCTAATTTTCAATAAAATGGAACTTTTAAATCATATAATTTTTACGTAATAACATATACTGTTAGCTTCGATATCCTCGCACAAGCTTTCATAGTATTATGTATCCTCCCTTGAAGTTAAGTGAATATAATGAAATCTGTGACTCATGCACACAACCTTATGTGGAGGCTTAAATATTCATCACTTCAGCGGAGGAGAGAGAATGAAAAAGGAGAGAAAAGGCCTGGGTTTGTCATAAAATCCAACGTCTTACAAAATATTCCAAGCCTTTTGCGCAAACTCCTTGGATAATTGGACAATTGGAAAGTCTTTCCGAGGATTTTTTATTTGTACCAAGGATTGGTACAAATAAAAGAAACAAGGTGGATATGTATGGATCACTGAGGTTTGTTTGAATGGGTGATTGAGTTTAGTTAGTTCGAGTTACTTTTGTTGAACTTAAATATAATTGTTTCTTTCTCATTCTTTACCGTGCAATTGATAAAAAAAATAAAAAATCATGTGTGAGTACAAATGATTTTTTTACGCACATGATTTTTTGGGAGTAGATTTGGCTCTAGTCTGGAAATTAGTGTGTGTAATTGGTGGAGGTCAGAATTGTCGATCAGCTGATAGATTGGAGACTTGCCAAGCAGACGAAAAGCTGTTGTCATCTCAGTCTTTCTCGGTTGTTGCTCGCGGTGTTGCTTGCATCCGATTTCGTTGTCTAGAACCGAAAGCGTGCTTTGGACCGACGGATTAACTCAATCCATTGAAGTAGGAAGGAAGGAAGGCTTGAGGAAAACAAAATTCTTGTCTTGGTCCAGGCCAAACCCGTCGTAGTGGTGTCGTGAAGACTGTCTTCATCTAGAAGGTCAATTCTGCCGTAGACATCTTTCAGACGAGTCAGCTTGTAATGATATATGACAGAGTACTTACAGAACATATGGGCAAACAAAACAGCACGAACTTGCAGTCAAGACATTCTCTAATTTGCAAATGCCTTATTTTCAAGTTAGAAAGAAAATCCACCGGATTCCAATGGCGGCTCAAAATGGATAAGGACGACGCTGAGGTGGAATTCCCGTGAAGAGCCTAAAATCCCCGATGGATCGATGAGTGGATTGGCTGAATTTCACCAACGCATCCTCCCTCCGGAGAGAAGAAGAGAAAAGTGAACAATAGGAAACTTAACGTCAACGAATGCACGTGAGTGGAAGGAGAGGAAAAATGGCGGAGAATAAATATATGAAAAGGAAGAGAATACAATATCCTCAAGGTCGAGAAGCACAACAAAGTAAATCCGGAGGACGCTGAAAAGCGTGCACAGCAGGTGTCCTCGGTCCACTGGGATGGACGTGTTGTGCTGTGAAATGGAAGACATGGCCTGTCCTGACAAAATTCTCTAGCCTGGGCCACCGGCAGATAAACATTTAATAAACAGGAGGTGATCTGGTCTGCTCCGGTCTATAAAGGAGGAAAGATCTGCACCAGCGGAGCAGCGGCGAGATATGCTGCATCTGCAAGCGAGTAACGCTCGCACCGAGCTCTTCGCCAACAATGAAAATCACGACTCTCGATCGCTGAGGAACCCTTTCTGATGACGAAGATCGAGACAAATGTTTGGGGGTTCGTGCAAGTGCTCATCCATCAGCAGCACGTAGCTTTCTCTTCTGACTGACTGGGGAATCACTCCAAATCGGCCTCAGATGGAGGAAGTGGGCTTCTCGAGGTCCAAGGGCCAAACCTCAATCTGATGAGGAACCCTCCGCTTCTCCCAGCAGCTCCAGCTCCGTCTCTTCTGGCACACCATATCTAAACTAAAGGCTTCGCTCAACTAAAATATTACTGACCTCCATCGTCCTTGGTGCTTTCCATTGGTTGCAATGAGGTCTACAGAAGGGGCAGAAGCGACATATCGGTAGCTCGAATCCCAAGCACGCATCTCTGGACAGGGCAGCATATGCTGCTCTTCTTTTGCCGCCCGCCCCATCCCGCAGGTCCTATCAGAACTGGGCGATCACGGTGGCCTGAGCTCAGCAACAGCAGGCAGAGTAGCTTTTTCGGCCATGGGAGAGATGGGAGAGTTTGAGGAAGGAAGGGAGGGATGGAGGGATGGAGGGACGGAATGATGGACCGATGTAAGTAGGGGCGGACTTTTACTTGGTGAAATGGAGGGGGCCGTGGCCGTCGGTGGGGGTATCTTCAAAAATCAACAAATCATTCGAGCCTGGCCTGCGTGCACGTGGCGATGTGCATGAGATCGGTTCCACGTGTTTCGATAACCATTGTCCTGTCTATTGTCGAGGTGGAGCTGCCCTTTGCGCAGAGAGGAACTGCTGCGAGAGAAGGCGAGCAAGCGAGTGAGCGAGCGACGGAGTGTGTGGAGACAGGCAGCGAGTGAGTGAGTGAGTGAGTCGCAGGTAGTGCTGGAGGTCCTACAACGTTACAGCTACGTGAGATCAAAGTGATGCAGCTTCGTTTCAGCTTTCCCCGTGTTCTGACACCAGGATTTGCAGCACCTCGATGCATTGACTTGTCGTGCATGTAGCTTTCCGACACTGTTGTGTTCCCTCCCTCCCTCTCGCCCTCCCTCTCTCGGCCTAAGTGGAAGTGGAAGTGGAAGCTTGAGTGACGCGCAGTGCCATGGCAACTGGGTGGATGAGGTCTGGGCATGGGTTTCGAGTGGCTCCCTAGCTCTTCTTACAGCGGGACCGAGTTTGGGAAGGCGTGGAGTGGAGTGTGAACATCGCTGACAGGAAGGCAGTTGCAGGGAGGGAGGGAGGGAGTGGCGACGAGCTGAGGATGCCTTGGTTGTGTTCGGTTTCGGGCTTTGAGTGGGGCATGGAGGAGCAGAGGAAGGAGCAAGAGTCTCGAATGAGGTGGATGAGATCGCAGGTGGAACTCCGTTCCAGGCAGGGTTGATTTGCAGGACTAGAGAGTCAGTCGACTCTGGGGTCGACACACCATCGGCCAGGCGATAGTAAATATGAAGAGTGGCTGTTGCGAGCAGCAGGTGATTGGATCGTCCTCAGTAGTAGTTCACGCCAAGGTTAGACCTTCTGCTTTGGTTCCGGTGCTGGCGTGAGGCATCTCTAGCAGATTCAGGTGGGGCGGGTGGTCTTCGGTTGGCAACTACTCCGAGGAGCCGGGTCCATTTGGCAGTCTGTAGTTTGTTGCTATGGCGATGGAGATTGGAGGCTTACTCACCAGTGCTGGGATCAATATTGGGCTGGCAGCTCTGTTTTTGTTGATGTACTCAGTGTTCAGCAAGCAGCCGAACAATGCTGGAGTATACTTCGGTAGAGATTTGCTACGACAGAGGAAACTGAATAAGCTGAGGGAGCGGACGCTCGAAAGCTTCATACCCTCGGTGGGATGGATCGTCAGAGCTTGGAGATTCACAGAGGCGGAAGTCTTAGAGACGGCAGGACTGGATGCCTTGGTGTTTTTGAGGGTCTTCAATCTGAGCACCAAGCTGTTTGCGATCTGTGCTTGCCTGGGAGCAATTCTCGCTCCCTTGTACTACACTGTCAAGCATGACAGCCCATCTCAAATCTACACGGAGTCCTTTGATCACTTCACCATATTAAATCTCAACCACGGCTCCAAACGATATTGGGTCATCTTCGGTTCTGTTTACTTCATCTCATTCTGCGCATACATTCTGCTGTATCTCGAGTACAGCAGCATCACTAAGAAACGCCTGGAGTATCTGCATAATGCTCGGCCTCAGCCTGACCAGTTCAGTGTCCTTGTTCGCGCAATACCAAAGCCTTCTGAAGGCAAGAGTCACAGCGATATGGTGGAAGAGTTCTTCACGGAGTACCATCCTGGCTCCTACACATCTCATCAGATGATTTACAACGCTGGCCACATTGAAAGCATGATTCATAAATTCGAGCTGTTGCAAGATGAAATCGGCTGGATGAAGAAACTGGACCCCAGTAAAAGGAAGCCGAAACGAGCTGGCTTGTGTGGACTATATGGCCCTAAGATAGATCCCATAGAGAGGCTGACAGCGAAGCTAGAAGATTTGCACGGGAAAATTCGACAAGCTCAGCACGACGTTCTTCACAAGAATAAGGAGATTCCTGCTGCCGTCGTGACCTTCAGGAACAGGCGGGGTGCAGCCGTCGCAGCGCAAAGCCAGCAAGCAGAAAATCCCATGTCGTGGGTGACAGAATGGGCTCCCGAACCGAGAGATGTATACTGGCCAAACCTCTCGGTGTCCTTCTCCCAGCTGTGGATCCGACAGATATTTGTCGGGGTCCTGGTGTTCCTCACGACGATCTTGTACACCATTCCGAACGCATTCGTGCAGGGTGTTGGGAACATCAACATTTTGAAGAATTGGAAATACATGCCCAAGATCGTGGTTGTAATCCTAGATTTTCCCGGAGTGGCCTGGTTTGTCGAGGGATATCTGTCGACCTTGCTGCTGGCTGCTCTGCTATACTTCATCCCTCCGATGCTTCTGGCCCTTTCGCAGCTCGAAGGTCCGTCATCCAAGAGCAACCAAGAGCGGAATGCTGCTGCGAAGTTTTTCTACTTCCTGGCAGGCCCTGTATTTTTCATCCAAGTCCTGTCGGCGTCCGTGTTGGACGAGGTCGAGTTTCTGACGGATCCCGCAGAGATCCCCTTGCGCCTTGCTTCCGACATTCCGAGGCAAGCTACTTTCTTCATGTCATACATCATGACCACGGGATGGGCTGGATTCCCGTTGGAGATTCTGCAGATCGGCTTGCTGATTCTGAACATGCTCAAGAGGCATACTCTGAAGGAAGATAGTAACCATCCGGAGCTGGAGCTCTACTCCCTTCCTTACTACAGGGTCATCCCACAATTGCTGCTCTTCATCCTCGTGGGCCTCGTGTATGCGGTGATTGCCCCGCTGCTGCCGCCGTTCTTGCTCGTCTACTTTGCCCTGGGATACGTGGTCTTCAAGAATCAGATCATGCATGTGTACGAACCGGCCTATGAGACAGGAGGACAGTACTGGCCTCAAGTGCACAACCGCATTGTGGCAGCTCTGTTTCTGATGCAGATCACGTTCGTGGGGATATTCCAAACCTCCATGTCCACCCGTGTCTCTGCTCTCGTAGTTCCCCTCCCTATTCTTACCATTCTTTATTATCAATACTGCTTGAAACGCTTCTACCCAGTTTTCGTAAGGTTTTCCGTCGAGAGTACCACGAAGAAGGATGCCGAGGACGAACGGAAAGGAATGAAGGACGAGATCACCAAGTGCCTCGAGAAGGCGTATCTTCATCCGGCCTTACATCCGGTCGAGCTTACGAGACGAGCTTCCGACAGCAACACTGATCCCCTTCTTCCTTCTGCCGACTCCTCGTCCATGGCTTAAATCATTGAGCCGTCCTCCTGAGCGAGCAGGTTTCTTTCGTCCGGAAGCGAACGTGGTGTGCACTTGCTCATTTGGGTCGGATTTCAGTGCAAGCTTCTATTCTGGTGTTTGTCCAGTGGACATAAAGTCACTGTGCGTCGTCCATCCAAGATGTGCAGTCCAGTTGTGAATTAGTGTACATTGTATTTTTGCTTGTTGAGAAAATAGGTGCATAGAGTAACCACCCTTTCCGGGTTTGGATTCTTGTCTGAAATTATTATGGAGGGAAACTTTCAGCTGATCCATCCAGTATTTGCTGGTATATCCACATTCTTCTCTCGTCTACAATGTCAATCGGAACGAGTTTCGATGATCCTGTTCAACGTAGTCACCCTTGTTGTCCCCGCCGTTATTGTACTCGTGTTGCCTTTCTGACTCTCAAAATTAATGAAGCTCGAGATCGGGCCGAAACCTGGCTTGTTCTGCAAGTTCAGGTCACCAGAACTTCTATCCGAAGCGAGTCCCTGGAGCTCTTGCTGTCAGATGCATGAGAGCTCACAGTCAACTGGAAATGGTTGGCGAAAGCTCTACAGAAGCCGTTGTCCTCTCTAATTATTCTTTGTATCCCTTGTAAGTCTGGTGTCGCTTTTGACTCAAAAGAAGTTATGGTAGGTGGTGGAGTATGGCAGGCCGTGTCGTGGAAGGAGGAGAGGCGTATTTCTCTCTTGACCATGCGTTCACGTCACTCCTTAGTCGAATCCTCTCCCATGGTCCTGCGTTAAGATATTTTTTAACGCTGTTCCTCGAAAGTGTGTGTTATCTGTAAATCCTACAGAGAGTTTCGCAAGGTACGTCGTGATCGTTGTCACTGGATGGGTTTTTCGGCATGAGGTCGGTGTAGATCTCGCTCATCATGCTTGCAAAGAAGGGAGGCTCAGGCTAAGCTGGGGTTCAGAATATGCCTATGCGGGATTGTGAAGGACCTTTTCCGACTGTGCTAAATGCGTTTGAACCTGCAGTAATGCACTTCAACGGGGCCCATCAATACATTCACTAGATTCGCTGGCGGAAATTTAGAGACTTATGTGTAGTTTAATGCGAGCGATCGCTTCAACGTGAACTCAAGCTCAGAATAGTTGTCTGGAAGAAATACGCGACCCACCTCTTATTACTACATGTCTCCATTGGCGGCCTCTAGAGAAGTCTACGAGCCCTCTTACGACGCCGGTTAATTTTCAAACTCTGTTAGCATTTTGAAGGAGAGGGTGTCAGCGATGCTCCTTCGGAGTGGACAGTATCTTACCGATTATGTCTTTGTAGGTATCTGATCTTTGCGCTGGCATGTGGGTACATATTTCACACGCCACTGCAAACGCATTTTCATACGAATGAAGCTAGAATTGAAATATATTCCACTGGATTGGACTTAGGATAGTATATATTATGCTTGAAATGTACAAATTGTCTCCGTAGAGTTGTTATCCATTTTACTGGATGAGCAACGAAAGGAGCAACATTACGTAAAGTTTGAAAAATAGAGATTTTCTCTCTTTGGTTCCCCATCTAGAAATAATATCCATCTCCTTAGAAAAATGTGAACTTTCTTCTAGTCAAAATCTTTTCATTGTTTTTGAACAATAACCTGTGGAGGTAATATTTAACGAAAAAAACATTTCAGTCATGAGGATTTGAATACTCACGGTTATTTGTTTATTATACTAACCAATAGTTGAAATAATCTCTTCACTTCCATATCTGCTTTCCTCATATTTTGGATTTGTGGAGGATGGACAGCGTTGATTCGGCAATAGGAATGACACGATGTGGTGTAAAACCAATTGTCAGGTGAGGAGGGCACGTGTGCTGAGGCCTAGCGTTGAGAGGCTTGGCTACTCGACAGATCTGGTGGCAATGAAGTCACGATGATGTCATGTAATATAGTTCAACTCAAATGAGGTGAAATCTGAAAGATTCTTTGACATGAAAGCGAGAGAACGAACGTCATAACTACATCGAGCCACCTTCCTCACACACTGAGAATGCTGGCAAGCTTTTCGTGTCTCAAAAAAATACGTGGCTGCCACATAAGGAAGTTGTTTCTAAGTGTCACAGTAATGCGTGGCATTCTATCATATTCCTGCGATGCAGACAACTATTAGGCGGAGGCCGCTAAAACGTCCCACAGTAAGTGCCAGGCCATTGATCAAAGAGGGGGCAGTCGGAAAAACTTCCACCTCGTATGGTCAGCTTTCCCCTCGGTGTCGAGGCGGAGAACCTGGTAAAGCAACCTGAAGGTGTCGTGGGCTGTAGCTGCCAGAGCGAGCTGCCTAATGCAGAAAGCATGTGTAACTGCCGATACACGGTTGAGCCAGCGCCCAAGTTCCCTCGATGAGAAAATGTGTGCAAGGGCCTTCCACGTTAAAATATCTTGCAAGGCAAGCATGACAGCTGTGGATTGCCATATAGGAGAAGCAAGTCATGCTTCTCCGTAGAGCTCACACTAATCTTCTGTGAATCGACTGCCACTTCCACGCTCATCTGATTCCGGTTCCGTTCGGGCCCAGACCTGACTCATCGAATCTCACTTCCGCATATGGAGGACCTCGTCCTGCATTTGCAGAGGAGAGATTCGGTGAGTAAGGTGTTCAATTCTGAAGCTAATCGACGAGGTAGGGCGATCATTAAACGAACCCACGTGGTGTCTTTCTATGACAAGGGCCTCATAGACTGCGCAAACTTATACACATGAGTCATATAGCTGGTGAGAGACGACGAGCCATGCCAATCGCATCCGACCAAGCGAGGACTGTGAAGCTCTTCTCACGAACTCCAGCTGCAAAATTCACCTTCTTATCGAATTAAACTCGTGTTCATAAGTCCGCGAAGTTGCTCGTGGAAGTGCCGTTTACTTTCCCATGTTTTAACACAACTACAAACAGTACTAATGGACAGTACTCGAATGCCGACTCTAGGTTCTCCAGCCAGTTGCTCAGATGCAATTCTTTCTAGAGAAAGCTCCAGAAAGCGTTTGCTCTTTGAATTCAGCTCTGTACAGAACTGGCACCTGTGAGACACATAGACTAAGCGAGAGAACGACCTAGACTTCTCTTGAGAATGATCGCTCGGTTTCCAATCTGGTCGATACGCTTGTCCAGACACGACGTAGAGAGTTTGGTTTCAAAATTCGGAGGCCATAGTAAGCTCATCTGCTCTCGAGTCATGCGCATGCGCATGACTTGGAAGCTGCCTTACTATATGCATCCCTCACTGGACGTGACTGGAAGTTATTAGATTCGATGTAATATATACATACTTGGTCCGTCCAAGCTGGGCACAACGCTCGATTGCACAAAGAGCTAATCCTAGAAGCAAAACCGACTTCACTAAGACACACGAGGCAGGATTTGTACAGCTTATCTAGATTCGCTGATTGTAGTGGTTTTATTCACAAGCACAACGATCTAAGGCTAAAGAAGAAACTACGAAAGGCTTCACAGATTATACTCAAGGCCTGATTATGTACAGAGGTGGCCTTGCTATGTCCCTAAGAAAAGGCTAGCAACCTGAATTGCGTGCGACATGCCGACACCTTTACTCACTGAATCTCACCTCTGCAAAAGCAGGACTAGGGAGGAGTGATGAGCTCTGAAGGTCAAGGGTTCACAAGGAACTTTCCACTGAAGGTAACAGAGGCGGAGTGAACTTTCCCTTTGGTCGTGATGCCAAATCTGCCCTGTGGACGCGATCCTCCATAATGGTGCACGGGAACATCGAGCTCCGTGACTGAGTGGGCAAAAGCAGAGTTCTCACCAAGCTTCGCTCGGTGATGGCGGGCAGCAATGACGATGGCGATGATGATGATGTTGGTGGTGGTAAGTAAGAAGCAAATTTTAGGTTGAGTCGTGAAAGAGCGACGTAATATTCCTCCTCGTATGTATCCTTCGCAATCCGATATTAGTCACTGTGTCCAGCCTGCTTTGCCTCCAGGGGCCTCGGAGAACTCCTGAACTCTCTCTCTCTCACTCCCAACTTATTTCCCATGACTTCTTCCCCACGCTGGGCGACTTTATTCAAGGAACCCAGCCCCTCACAGATTGGATTTCTGCACACTCGCGCCTACCTAGATCAGATCAGCTCCCAATCCAGCAAACTGTCACTGCTCGGCGCTCGGTGATGGCCATCCCAGCTTTGGATCGACGAGGTGGACGTCGATTTCCCCAGTCTCATTCTCCGGTACTCCTCGCTCACGAACCAGTGGGCGTACTGATCGGCGTCCTCGTCCGCGAACTTGGACGTGCCCAGGTCCTGCTCCGATTGCTCGTTGCCGATGAAGAAGACCGGGGCCTCGGGGACCAGGGGGGGTTTGGCCGGCACGCTGCGCACGGCCTCCGCGACGATCTCCGGCGGCGCCGTGACCATGATGGACGACGCGCGCCGCACGAGGCCCGACGCGTTCGCGCCTTCCAGGCCCAGCGCCGAGGGCCTGTCCGCGCCGCTGCTGGCCACCGCTGCGGAGTCCTCCGTCGCCGCGACCTCGGACGATCTCTGCTGCGACGGGCAGTCCTCCGGGACCAGCAATTCGCGCACGAACTCGGCGCAGAACTTGCGCACATTCGTGCCCACTTGGCTGAACTGGCTCTCGAAGAACAGGCTGCTATCGTGAATGCCCTCGGCCGGATTGCGCCCCGTATCCATTTCGCACAAACTGTCCAGCTTCAGCTGCATGCGATCGATCCATGATAGCTCCTTCCCGGAATTGGACTTCTGCCTCTGCAACACTGCTCCGTTCTTCGGGCCCATGTCTCCAGGCAATTCCGACACGCAATTCCACGAGCAAGAGACCCGAGCCCTCGTCTCTCTTCACAACACCATCCAATTGCTGCCAGTCGTCTTTCGTCCACGATCGCAATTCCTGCTCGTGGTCTCGACGGCAAGCAAGCCCACCCCCGCACCCCCGCGTCCTCAACGACGACTCTGCGCTCTCCCCCCTTCTCTCTCTCTCACTATCTCTCTCTTGCTCCCTCCCTCCCTCCCTCCCTCTCCCTCTCTCTCCTCTCCCTGACCCTCCCCCCACACAACAAATCCTGGCCTCTCGACTGTCTTCAACAAATCACTAAATTGCCTCCCACTGTGCTCAAACTACAGAACCCGGTGATACACATCCATCATCAACAACAACAACAACGCGCCACTCGCCAGAACAGTCCAAATTCTGCAGGTTGCAAAGAAGCCTAGGAGGAGGTCAGCACCTGGCATGCATCCATCGAGGTCATGCTCAATTTGAGTACGTTTCGCCGGACTGATTAGGCCTCAGCTGCAGCAGACTGAGTGAGCCGAGGATGCCACGCTCCCTCCCTCCCTCCCTCCCTCTCTCCCCTCCTCCCGGATCCCGCCAACCCACAACTCTCGCCTTGCGCTTCTTCTGTACTCGGGTACTCTGCACTCTGTGCCATCGGTCAAACCCGCTTTATTTGTTGGGTGACTTATCCACCTTCCTTTTTGGTTTTGTTTTTGGAATTCGCCTTTGTTCTTCTCGGACTCCACACACTTCCCATCAAATCTGAACCCTCAAACAATCCTGAGGCTTTTGAATTTTTTACTGGAAGATACTCCACCAGCGTTACCCAAGTTCGGGCGAATCTGGAGATATGGGATGGGATGGAGCATGGGGCTGCAAGGGCTCTGTTTTTTTATGGGTATGAAGCCAAAACATCCAAAATCTGCTTTGGACATGATGCCCTGACCTTTTGTCCCACTCCCTTGTTCCTTTACTTCACTCAAATCCATGTTCCTCCGAGCAGCGACATGTGTCTCTTCAGATTAGGAAAAAGGGCTCTTTACATGCTCACCACTCTTGAGGGCTACAAGGTCAACCGCTCTACCAGAGCAAGCAATGTAGGCAAAAACACATCCCGTGTAAGATAAGTATATTCTCCAAAGAAAAGAATTCCAAAGAATAAGCTGGAGTGTAAATGTTGAAGGACGAATGGAGACTGGAGGAAAAATTCCAAATACATCCAGAACATTTCCTAGTTGGAAGAGCAAATGAAGGTCCTGGATATCACATGGACAAAAAACAAAAGGAAATTTTATCCTTATGTTTGTTTTCTTGTTATTGAAAGAGGATTGTGGGAGTTATTGCTGGTGGTTTAGGGTGTTAGCTTCATGTGTTGTTAGTTTCAAGAGTATGTTCGATAAGATTCGCCATCTCAAGTTTTCTTGGACCAAAAGTCCTCATATTCAGATGAAGGCGTGGTTTTTCTGGCTCAGTAATCCTCCCAAACATTGATGCATTCAGCGATTACTTTGTTGGCATACGTTCTTCTGTGCTCGACAAGCTAGCATCACCGCGCTCTCAGCAATGCGGCCACTTATTGTCCAGCGGGTGGTACTGTGTGGCGCGATGAAAGACAAATGAGCCAGGTTTTTCCAAACAAGCAAACTTCATCAAATCTGTGTCCGCATCTTCCCAAAAAAAATGACATGCGTGACCCAACCTACCCTTAAACTTTCTCTCTGTTCATTCTCTTGTTATCAGTTTCTGTACAGCCAATTCTCAAAAAATTACTTCATTCAACGAGATGAATCGCATACTCTAAAGGCACGATCCAATGACCTATTTCCTCGAATATTATACGGAATATTAAGGTAATGAGCTCATTAAGAAACAGAATCCTCGAGAGAATCGCGGGTGTGTTTTGACAACCTCACTGGAATCTATTTATATGCGGATGGAATCAACGCAATCTGTCCGAGTCATGACTTGCCAAAAAGAAAGTCCACCACAAGAGGACGCCACAAGGCTCGAACGGCCCAGCCTTTGTATAGCTCGGCATTATGTTCCCTCTATCCAGGATCTGTTGGAGAGAATCACTGTGGGATTGATCTGTCACATGACGCTCGGCCTGTCCTCTCGACCATCTTTTACAGCATAGGAAAAGCAACTCCTATCTACCCTCCGACGCTGCACGGCGTCTCACCCCATAGGCTCTACTTGCTCGGTACATGAATTTGGCCGAGCTTACAAGTTATCTGCGGAACGCTATTTTCTCCCACCATAAAAAAACATCCAACAAATCCATCGAGTTCGTTTGCCGTGATAGTGTCGGACAATAAACAAGTCGATGCTACTTTGGTGCAAGACGGGGACACCAACGAAACCGCTGTGGAGACTAGAAGGAACCGGACATGTACACTAAACTATAGTCCGGAGAGGGATTGGACGAAAGTGGAGCTGGAAATCCGGGCGACTGCAGGAGAGAGACAGGCACAGACAAACTTCCATTCGACTCTAAGTCCTTGGAACCATCCACGTCGGGTTTGTCACACACACAAAGACGGATTTGCCGCTTTCGATTCCGGTTTCTTTTCTCTGAGAGGAGTGTGCGACGCACGCACATGCGATTTTCGCTTTTCTCTGTGCGGTGTCCGACGCCTGATAGGATCTTCCCGCAGGGCTAACGTGAGACTCACGGCACCGGGCAAGCCAGATCGGACAACATGAGGTGCTGCTGTCGGTGAGCTGAGCATATGGAAACCACTGTTCTGTACAGCCCAAGTCCGGGTTCCTCGGTACAGCGGGTTATGAACAGCGCATTGAACACTTGATCCTTTGAACATTTCAACCCCTCAATCGCTGTGATTATATAATCCAAAAAGCGAATGATTCCCTTCCTCTGCGCTACGCAGCAGATGAGCTTATTGGCGCATGTTTTCTTGCTTGCATATTTGTGAACAAGATTCTGATGTTTGTATATGCCAGTATATTCTGATGTTGTATGCAGTTGATGCCTTCTCTGGAACAGGGGACATTGAACAGGGACCTCCACGAGTCTGAAATTCTGTTTAATTTGGGACAATCAATAATGACCACATTCTGGTCAAGGCCCGAGAATGTCAAGGAAACCACTCCAGGGTACCAGTCTTACTTCCAATTGAAATTGAACTTGAAGAATATCGGATCAAGACCGATAGGCGACATGCATACGGACAAAGTGTAATATCACAAAAGATTGTGTCCCACTTCTACTGAAGCCTGATGATGCCCATCGATCTCCAGAGTCCATATGGCGCAAGGGAGATTCATATCGTCCATTCCTTCCACGGAGAGAGTGTCAAGGCTGTCTCCTGCTCTGTACCACCATCACCACATGAAAGCTCACCTTTGTCCAGATGTTTCCTCGCCGAATAGGGCTGATGCATCATCATCATCATACTACACTGCATGAGCGCCGGATGCGATGAGGTGATGCGAATCCATCGGCCGGTTCCACCAGACCTCCATCTCAGTGATCTTCGAGGCACTTCGTCACCTGCAAAGGACACAAATCATTTCGAGGTCCTCGTTGAGATTGCAGATACAGAGGCTGGTTCTTTCCGTCCTCTTATACCATAATTATGGCCGACGAACATTGTTCCCCTCAATGGAATTTCCTTTGCTCACTGGAAGTCGGTTCTTCCTTCTTTCCTTCATTCCTTCCTCCCTTCGTGGACGAAGAAAGTCCACGAGCGTTGCATAGAGAAGTACTGTACTGTAACCATGAAACGTTTCTGATGTATATTATTGTTCACCGAGTCTTAAAACGGTCGACTTTCGAAGAATTTTCCAGCAGTCCACGCTGAAAACGCGTCGAGCAATTTTGTCATGTCAATCATTTCATGGAGTCGACTTGATCTTCGGCCTCACCCAAATTTAGTCTTCTGCAAATCCAGTACGGAGCTGATAAATTTAGTTGGACATCTAAGTCGGAAAATGATGGTCCAATACATTAAATAGTTACCCCTTTAATAGTCTATCTTCGCAGAACTAAATAAATTGTATTGCGCTATTTCCGACTAAATGTAGAGCTGCTGTCACCCTGCTGCTCCTATCCCTCTCTCTTTATCTCTACATTTTGCTCTCATTTCTCACACTCGTGCAACTTTCTACGTGAAAGAGATCTCTTGTGTATGCAACAGGCATCGATGTCGTTTCAAAAATTACAACTTAAAAATGTTGGCTCACAAATAAATGTGAAATCTGAAATATAGATGAAATAATAAGTTAAGATTTGGATTAGGTCTTATAAAAGGAGATTTGCATGTGAGACAACTGAAATATTGAAAGAATGTACTTTAAGTGAAACAAATTTGATATGAAAAAGCTAAAGAATGAAGTAAGTAAAACCAAACTAACCAAATTAAACAACTCAAATAAAGAGATGAATAGAAAAATCTAGGTCTACACATCTAGACTTTTTGCACAATTTTTAGTAGATTTGATAGTGTAAGTCTGATAATAATTATAATATACGCACAATTCATGTTTTTCTCACATAAAATCTATTTCTATCATTGAATGATATTTTCTCGTCCAAATCTTTTCCATGACCAATATCCACATATACCAAAAGTGACTTGTCATTTAGTGCTTTGACATCAAATACTAAACCATGTCGTGTAGATAGCTTAAGATATCTAAGTATCTACTTCACTACTTCCCAATGCACCTTGCTTGAATTTGACATGTAACTGCTCATCATATCTATAACAAATGCTTTGTTTGATCTCGTGCATACCATCAAATACATGAGACTACCCACAACACTGTCATAGGGAATAGAATACATCAAGCTTTTCTCAATAGCATTTGAATGATATTGTGTTGCTGAAAGTAAAAACTAAGCAACCAATGTTTTAATGTTTGGCATGTTGAACTTGGCAAGCTCCTTCTTTGCATACTTGTGTTGGAATAACCAAAGCTTACTTACCTTCTAATTCCAAAATAGCTTCATGCTAGAAATTTTTTTGACATGATCCAAATCCTTCATGTTGAATATTGATCTCAATCTAGCTTTCAACTTATCAACATCAGATCTCATAGAAACTGCAAGAATCGTGTCATCAACATACAAGACAAGAATGATAAACCCTCATGTCACATTAAAATAATTTCCAAATAAACACAAGGATCATATACACTGTAAAAAAAATTTTGAATGCATGAAGTTGTTGAAGTGTTTGTTTCATTCTGTGGGACTTTGCTTTAAACTGTATATTGATTTAAGCATACCATGATTTCCTCTTTAATCATTAGAAAACCTTGCGGTTGTCGCATAAATATCACTTTATCGAATAGTGTAAAGAAAAAAAATGTGACAAAATCCATTTGATCAAACACTAGATCATATAGAATCACAAGAGCACATAGCAAACATATAGTAAAATATTTTAAACCGATGGAAAAATTTCATTCTAATTCACATCTTTGCATTATGTGAAACTCTTTGCTACCAATCTAACCTTGAAAAGTTTTTCACCTAGATCAGGAGATCCAATCTTCTTCTTGTAGTACCACTTACAATCTACAACTATCTTGTCTTAGAGCAACTCAACAAGTGTCCAAGTGTTGTTAGCATTAAGTGATTTCATTTCCTTCTCCAATGTTTTATTTCAGTCTTGCTTCTCATTATAAGCTAGAATTTTGGAGAAAGAAGATGAAACTCCATCTTACTTTACCAATGTTCACTCGAATCCTGAGCATTAGCTTTAATAATATCAATGATTGAAAAATCAAATCAAATTTCATAACTAGCCGGAGATTGACATTCAACTACACTCCACAATTGCCGCCTTGATGAAGATTTTACTTGATCAATTGATGTTTTATCTAGGTGTGACTCATCAACACTCTGCTCTTCTTGTTCCACAAAATGTGAAACCTCTCCTTGTGGCTCATCATCAGTGGTATCAATATCAATCTATCTTTCAACGATGATCTAGAGCAAGAATTTTGCCCTTGTCAGTTCAAAAATCT